ATGATTTTCAAAACAGTGAGTCTGAAGAGGGAACTTGGAGAGGAAGGATGCAGAATTCGATTTGCATTTCTCCTCAGACTTGTGACAGTGTCATGGGAGAAAGTACAAAGATGCTTTTAGAAGACCAAGTGGGAAATCAAGATTGCTATTACTGGCAGAACAAATAGAGCAATCAACAATTTAGTCTGTGAATAAGCATCCATGAAACCAGGCTCAGGTTTAGGTGACTTAATTTAAGATGCTTAAACCTAAACAGGTAGTGCACATGCGAACAACTGCCTCTTGCTAGGAGGGGTGCAAGCAGCCAGAAATAAGTGAGAAGGGAGGGGCTGGAAGGAATGATGAGGAGCTGGCAGATCCACAGGCAGGGATGACAGGTCGAGGAGGGGCTGGTGGGTCAGCAAGGGATGGAGTCAGGGTGTGGCAAATAGCCTGATCAGGGCCAAGAGGACAAGGACAGCATAATCCTGGGGCTGTATAAAGCGGCTGGGCTTTCCCAGTCCTGGGGATGTGCTGTAAACATGTGCAAGCATTCACAAGGTTGGGTTAAGCATTGCTAGATTGAGTTAACCCTTTATAGATCTAAAGTCAGTTCAAGTCTGAGGTGAAGAAACTAAGATTGGGTGCTCCATTTTTACTTAGCCCTGTGGATGCCTGCATGTTGGGCCTTTTAGATCACCCTAATGTTGATTAGGGCAAACTAAATGTAATGCTTGTACGTACCTCAGTAAGTTGGCAAAACTGATAGATCTCTTTATTCCTGTAGGAACCCTTTCACCTCTTTTTTGAAGTTCCACTGTTTAACACCCTGTTTAATAACATCCCATGAATAGATAGCTAATATGAAACTGAACATATTGTTTCAAAATGTTATTTTCTCTGAAATTCTGTATTTGGGGGGAGAGGATATTAATCTATTAAATTTAATTCAAATTAAATATCTGGGGCTTTTCAATAACTATTAGCAGGAAAAAATGTTTTGTGCCACTTCTTGCTGTTTTCTGTCTGGCTCATGGTCACCTTTAGAAAGACACTGGATGAGGGAGTAGGGGAGAAACCTAGAACTCCCTTGAAAAAGAAAGAGTCATGAAATTGAAAGAGAGGAAATAAAGTTGTCAAATTAGTTTAATACAAAGTAAGGTATAATGCTGGGGGGTGGGGAGGGAGAGAAAGGGGCGTGAAGCTGTCAGAACAAGTATGAAGAGGAACAGAATACTACCTGAAGACTTAGGGCTACAGAAGCAGAGATTATACATGGGTAGAAAAGGTGGACATTTTGTAGGAAATTATGGGCATTTATACACATACTGGAAGTGTGTGTGGGGGGGGAGGGGGCAGTGCTTTAATTAGAGTGGCTCCAAAAGCTTTTCTAATTAAAGTGCCTGGAGTGTCTCCTGTATCAGTGTCTGCACACTGACTGAAAAATGGCAGCCGGGGTGCTTTAACTAAAGCTCATCAAATGAGCTTTAATTAAAACACCCCTGCCACTATTTTTCAGCATGGGGATGCTGATACACAAGATGCTGGATTCTACTGGAGCACAGTAATTACCATGCTCCAGCAGACTTGATTGAGTTGCCTTCAACATGCTGCAATCACACACCCATAGGAGCCATATATATTCTCAGGATCTTGCCACTATTTTATTCAGAGGATCCAAATCTGGATCAAGTGTTCCCTTTGAGAGTGAACAAAAATAAAAGCCTTATTTCTAACTGTAGCAGTTTCTAGATCTGCTCATCTCTAGTCTGTAACTGAGCGGATCTTTTGGACAGCAGTGTAACTAGGAGTGGGTGACCAGGATACAGATGCCGGATGCCTATTTGAAAGGGGCACCAGAGTGGTGTTAAAGGGGGTGCCACTGGATTTCTTGCTGCCACTGGCACTCAGGGAGGGCTAGGGTTGGGGCCAGTTTAAACATTCACTGCAGAGAGCAGGGACAAGAGTTGTTCAGAGCCAGTCTTTCCCAGTCTCCTATGAGAGATGGCACTTCAGCAGGGGGGGGGCATAGGTGTAGGCAGAAGCTAGGGGGTTAACACATCCCCCATCTGCAGCCACAGTCTTTGCTGCTGCCCAGCTTAGTGCAGCACCAACAGTAGGGGACGGTTTGAGGGTCTCTGCAACCAGAGGCTGCTGCATTAACCCACTGCCTGCTGGCCACACTGACACCTCCCCCTGCTGCCCCAGCAGCTGCATATCCTAGGAAGGGAGTGCCAGGGGACTAGGGTACTAGTTACAACTCTGACTAATACATACAGAAGCTTCTCTTCCTAGACAGTTCAATAATCCAGAGGACTCTGCCTTGTTGATATACCCAAGCTAAGTTCCATCTTCAGGAATGCATTTTTTAAAGATTTTAAAGTAAAAATGAAAAGGATGTTCAACAAGAAGTCAACAACCTGTTTCACAAAATTCAACTATTTGTACATAGCTGTTAGCTTTACGTAAAAATAAAGGAAATGGGTATTTTAAGAAAGACAGTTGCCTTTTGTGTCAGGCAGAATTTGTAACATCTTTTGAATCAGATTAATTAGGATTGAAGAGTTAACAATATGATAAATTAGGAGTGAATCCTAAGTGCCCTTTAATATTTATTGGGGAGTTATCACATAACTTCAAATTCTGAAAATATGAAAAAATACTATATAATTAGATATCTGGTACTATAGAGACTTTTTTTTTATTTGAGCATCAGCTGTTTAATGTGTTCTTTGTGCTCCCTTCTGCAGTACAAAAAAACCTTCCTTATGTTACACATACAAGCTATTTCAAAATGAGTCATCATATTTAAAGTGTGATCTAATGGAATCTTATTTTAAGAATATTTTTGTTTGTCAAACTGGATGTTCTAGAGAAAGTTTTGCGCTGTATTGCTATGTTAATGATAATAGTATATACTAATATGTAATTATTTGAATCAAACTTTTGAAACAAGCATCTTTCAACAGTTTTTTAACGTTTCTATTTCATCTTAAGTACCAGATGTCAGAGACTTGAAAATATGTTTATTTTGGTCTTTGGGTCCTTCAGAGATTTTTTCTGACTCAATATCACTCATCTCTTGAAGATATGTATTTAGCCCCATTGAGTGAACAAGCTTTAAGGAGCAGCAATCTGTGTTCTTCTAAAATGAATGATTAGGCCACCTGCACTTTTAGAAAAGTCTTGAAAGCCATGGAATGCTCCCTAGAGTAAGAAAACAACATTACACAGGAACCTACACATTACAGTACCCAACCAGCCACTAACTGAGTTCGGTATTCTGTGTCTCATACCCAGAAGCACTTGATACTTCAAGAAAGCTTATGGTAGACTGCTCTAGGATAATCTGTCCAAAGAAGACGTTTCCTCCTAAGCCCATCAATACGTGGTCGTCTTTTATCTCTGAGAAAAATGCATCCTCTCTAGCTATTAACATTCTCATTATCCATCCTTATCCATACAGCTATATAATCAGGAGTGATCTGTAGGTATAACCAGTATGCTTAACATGTGGTACACTTGTGGTTCATATAAAGGGTTTTACCACTGCTTTCAGTTATTTGATTAGTGTGCTCCAATTATTTCCTTACTGAGTTGCCTCAAAATAAAGTGTAAGGAGACAATATCATGTTTCAAGAACCTGGAAAATGAGAGGGCTTTACTATAGTTCTCTTTTTATGTATATTTATATCCAGTTTTGGTAATCTGTCCCTGAGAACTCTCTAATATTATTCACAGGCTCCCCCCTGCCCCTTCAGTGTTCACAGAGTACTGAATTAAGACCTGTGGTAACAAAATCTATTGTGGCTCGTCCCGTGTACCATTATATTCTGTGCATCAGAACCTGTATTTTTTTGGCAGTTTTACATCAAGTAGTCATAATATCCAGCTTGCAATCAGACACTGGAAAATCATGACTAATATAAGCATGGCCAATTAAAAGAAAATGTTAAATTCACTGGAGACTAAAACAATTGAAGAATCACAAG